TTCAAAATTCAAACAAATCACAATTAACAATTAAAAACTAAAATTAAAAATTAAAATTGCCAACTTATTGGCTATAAAATTTTAAAACAAATACCTAAAACTCTAAATTTAATTAATTTATAGAACTACTTAATTTTTTTTTATGGAAATTAGAGATTATTATTGAAAATAAAAAAGGATTATATCAAAATCTCTAAAACATGGCATTATAGCCTAGAACAGAGGCATTATAGCCTAGAATGGAAGCATAACCTACAGCACTAGTTACATATTTAAACTATGCTTATGACGAATTTAGATAATTACGTAAAGAAGGCCATTTACACATAGGGATTTGACTTAACAATGCCCTTCTATGTATAGAGTTATGAATGTTTGGAAAACCAAAACCAAAACCAAATTTTATTGAGTTGTCAATGTATAGAACTACTTAATTTTACATTAGGGTTTCTAAATTTTTAAAAACCAAAACCAAAAATTCAAAATGACAACCGTACTAAATGGAGCCTCAGCTAGTAGTGATGTGTGAATGTTTTGTCAAGAAATTTCTGATGTTACGCCCCACTTGTTGCTTCCTATTGTATTGAGCAAGGACTTTTTTGGCCTAGGAATGCTGTTAGAATTTGAATTTAATGTATGGAATGGGACATGAATAAATGAATTAATTGAATTATCTTTGGGTTTGTGCAAGTAAAAACTATGTGAAAAGTACCTATATTTGTATTTTGAAGCTTTGGTGCTAATTGCGTGTTCCCTACTATATTCTAGGATTTAAGTTTTGAATGAAGTGAATCAGCTCATAATGAAGTTATGAATTCTTAATCTTGACTTGAGTAGTCTTTGCAAATTTGGTCTTGAGCCATTGCTACCGGGTTTAGAATTTCTATTAAAGGATTTAAGTTTGAAGCAAATGAGGTTTTAAAGATGTAATTCTTATGGATTTCTTTATCTTGACTTGAATAGTTTTTGCAAATTTATTTAGTGATTGTAGCTAGGTTGAATGCGTTAGAGTGATCTTAAGTCTCCTTTTCAATGTCAGTTATAGTTATTGCCTAGATCTTTCAGTTTCAGGTTCCATCAACCTTTCTAGCTTAAGTCTTTTTGTTGGACAGAATACATTTATTAAGTATTATGCTTACAGCCACACATTCTTACAGATTTCCTAGTCTTGACTTGAATAGTCTTTGCAAATTGGTACAGCTAATGTTGCTGGCCGGTATGAGTACGTTATAGTGACATCATTACTTAATCTTCTGCTATAACAAGCAAATTATTGAATGCAGAAACGGAACCAACAACTGGTGATCAGCATGGAAAATCAAATGGGTCAATAACACTAGACAGAGGAAACAGAAAGGAAAAAAGATGAGGAGAAAGGACACCAATTAGAAATGATTGCTTAAATAACCTATTTCACTTCTAAAGTTAAAGATATTAGTAACCCAATTTAAGGTTCTCACTGGTAGTTGTTACAAATTTCTTAGATGTTAATGTAGACACCTTTCACTATAACATACTCTACAATACACTTATTAAAAAATTATTATTTTCTTATATAGAATTAAGAGGGGAAAAACTTAAAAATGCATTCATACATAGAGCATAAAAGAACTAGTTAAATCAGCTGCATCTATATTATATTTTAATGGTTAAGTCATCTGAGTGTTGGCATGTGACTCGAGTCAAAGAGTGTCTAAATCATTTTCCTTTCTTAATCTCACTTAAATAGTCTTTTTAAATTTTTCCAATCAATGTTGCCGGGTTCAGCACGTAATGGTGATCCTCGCTCGAAGTCTTCTTGTTAAAGTGTAGGGGCTTATGTCTTGCTGTCGTATGTATGCATTCACATGATAAGGCTCCTTAGAATTGTTTGTACCCAAATGGGAAAGGATAAATTCAAACCTTTATTTTCAACATGGTGACTTCACTCCTCACCATTTGAGCCTTACCTAATACTAATACGAGTCTTATCGAATTGATTTGTACTAAGTTTAAAACCTTGATTTTGGGTTAAGATTAGAATTTCAAATCCGACCACAATTAACTGTATATATACCAAAAAAAAAAAAAAAGGCTTACCCTAATTGGTTTCCAATTAAATTAAATAAGGAAAATGATTTCTTAAAAAAAAAAAAAAGTAAAATGGTGCGCACAATGTCTACTTACAATGAAATTTTATAATCTTAAGTGACAATGATGGTAATTATGATTAACTCTTTTTATTTTGTAGAATTCGTGAATCTATATTTATCCACTTGATGCCGTGTATTTATTATAAGAATTCATTTTAAGATATATTGTGTTTGAATTAACTTTGATCGAATAAATTGTTACAAATTAATAATGAAAATGCAGAAATGTTTGAAGAGAGATTGTTGACTTGTTATTCAGAACTCTGTACATGGTACTGGTACACGTACAAATCAATGAAATGAAGGAAAGAATTAAGAAAATCATTTAGAGCATTAAGAGTCAATTAAGGGGATGATGATGACTGAATCTTCTTACAGTGGAAGGAG